GGGGGGAGGGAGGTGAGACCTGCTAGAGCTTGAGGTATGGGAAATCTCCACATTAAAGGTTTCTGGTTAAAGATCTCCCTGGAGGCTATCAGTTTCAGCTCTACATAGTCTCAGCTCTATACTGTGACTTATGAGGAAGGAGCCCAGGATGGGATGGAGAGAGTTTGGAACAACCATGATAAGGAGGAACAAAGACCTTGCCAGGGTTCAGAAGGCCCTCATCCTTTCCACCATTTCCCTGTGTAGACAAAGCTCTTGTTTTCCTCCAGGAGACACACCTTTCACAGCAGCGATTTTCTCTGCCTCCTCGGGTTTAAATACACAAGAAAACTGTGGCTTTTCACTTCAACCTGTTGTGATTCTTGGCTCTCCTTGCGATAGGTGGTAAGAACAGCATTTGTCCACTAACAGGACCACAGCAGGAGTGGGTCTGGGTTGGAGCCCTCCAACCCTGAGGTCTGAGCCCTGATGCAGCATGGGCTCTTATGGGGTTGGTACCGGGTGCAGAACACCCTTGATCTAAAGGTCGCCCTCTCGGCCTCACACAGGGTGCAGAGGACCCTGACTCAGCCGCTCTGTAAGATGTGTGGGTTGAGGGTCACCCCTTTGGGGCACAGCTGGACAACTGTCTTTCTGACATGTTATGACATGTGTGTGGGTGGGGCTAGGCTGCAGGAATGCATTTCCCGTCCTGCTTCATGAGCACAGACCACTGGCAACTAGTCCCCAAACTCAGGAGATGGGCAAGGAGGAGCACGAGGTGGCTGTCCTGGGGGCGCCCTACAACGCCGCACCCATGACCTCCACCGTGATCAACATCCACAAAAGCTGGGAGAAGGCTGCAGTTCCTCTTGCCTCAGCTGGTAGGGCTGCAGACAGCTGAGTAGGGGTCCAAGTCCTGGGTCCTGCCTCAGCTGGTGGGGCTGCAAAGAGTTGGGTAGGGGTCCAAAGGGACCCAGTGTCCTCTGAGCACACAGAAAGATGAGTACTTGCTTCTGCAGGGCCCTCTGGCCACCAACAGGGATACCGAGGGGATGGTAGATGACTCCAGCCACTGCACCTCTTGCTCTGTGGGGCTGGAACCAGGCTGTGCCTCCTCCTGGATAGAGTGTCCCCAGCCCTCCCTGCCTCAGCTGGCAGGGCGGCAGCAGGGGACCAATTCCTGGAACCATAGTTGGGCGGCCTCTCCAGGGGTGCTCTCCAGCACATCAAGGATGCAGAGGCACTGGGCCTGGGCCTCTGCCAGGGCAGGGGTGCACCATGGGGAGATGGGGCTATCCCACCCAGGCCCAGGGGGATATCTGCCTAGGGCAGATAGGATCAGGGTGGGAGTGGGTCTGCTGGCTGGGGCAGAGACAGGGTGCATGCCTCCCTCCATGCCCTGTGTGTGGGGGGCAGTCTCTCTGGGGAGGCAGTGAGATGGCTGGGGGACTAGGCCATCCTGGGGACTCTCGTCACAGCTGTCTTTCAGGCTGATCTCAGAGGGTGGCCCTTCTATCAAATGCATGGCCCTTGGGCAGGATCCCAGTGTGTCCAAGTCCAGCAGAGTTGACGATGGTCCTGTCTGCTGAAGCTCATGGCTTGTCCCCATGTTTCCCCTGCTGTTCCCTGTCCCTCTTGGACCTGCTTTGGTCCTCAATCCCCCTCCCACAGCACACTAACTTCAAGACCCCACCCACAGATGGGTGCTTAGCTGTGGCAGCTGACAACGTGAGCATGAAACAGGAGGACTGACCAGGACTGGGAGTGAGGAGTGGGGAGGGGGCGTGCTGGGCCCACCTGGGTAAGGACAGAGAACATGCTCAAGCATCAGACCGACTCATAGTGACCCCTCCTCAGGTTTCCGAGACAGTATCATTACGGTAGATTGCCCAAGCTTCCTTCCAAGAAGTGGCTGGTGTGTTTGAACCACCAGCCTCCTAGTCAGCAGTCAAGTGCCTTAGGCACTATGCTGCCAGCACATGGGGCCAATTTCAATCATTAAGGACACTTCAGCAAGTTCCCAGTTCCTTGTGTGAGCAGAACCGGCTTTCAATTACACCCTTCCTGAGGGCAAACTGCCCCTCCCTATTTAGCCCCGCACTTGTCAAGGCAAAGCCACATTGCTGGTTTAACGGTCAGAAAGAACTCAAATGGCATCTGAACTTATGTCAAGACTCAACTGGAGTCTGGGTTCTTGCTGTGGACCACAGCCTCCATGAACCAAGTCCTTTAGCATTTAAGCTGCAATACAGTGGACAAGGCAGTCCTGCAGCAGGCTGGGGACAAGGGAGAGGCCAGCTGGGCAACTCCTAAAAACCAAAACCACACTCAGTGCTATGGAGTCGAGCCTGATTTCCACTCATAGCCACTCCTCCTAGGGTTTCTCGGCGCTATGTCCACGGAAGTAGATTGCCTAACTTTCCTACCCAGCGGTGGCTGGTGCATTTGAACTGCCAGCCTTCTGGTTAGCAGGCACTGGTCTCCAGTGCGGTAGAATGTCCCTAGGGCCCACCCATGCCCTAAATGGGGGTGCGGGTTCGGCTAATAACTTCCTGACTTAACCAGAGACCTCTTCAGCTCTGAGCCCTACCCCTCTCCCCGCAACCCCGGCCCTGGAGTAACTTGAGCCTCAGGAATGTGTCCCGCCTCCTGAGCCCCGGCCAATCCCAATTCCCAGTGCCAGGAAATAGGGATTCCTGGAAATCGAAACTCCTGGGAAGAGAGATCGGCGGAGCATCGACCCTACACCGGATCCACTCAACTGCAGATTGTCGTTGGGCGCCATGAACCGCACTTCCCAACCCTTCTTCACGCATGGAAGCCCCAGTCTCCCCTCAAATTATGAGATGCTCAAGGAGGAACACGAGGTGGCCGCGCTGGGGGCACCCCTCAGCCCCGCGCCTCTCAGCCCGGTGCCCGTGACGTCCACCGTGATCAACATCCGCAGTGAGACCTCGGTGCCGGACCACGTTGTCTGGTCCCTCTTCAACACGCTCTTTCTGAACTGCTGCTGCCTGGGCTTCGCGGCGTTCGCCTACTCCGTGAAGGTGCGTGTGGGCCGGACACGTGGGGGACGCCCCACGTGGGTGCGAGGGTGCCTCAGGGTGCCTCTGCCCAGTTGGGAGTTTGTGTGTTTGTGTGCGTGAATGCGTGCGCGGGTCTGTGTGTGCGTGTGTGCGCATGTACGTGTCAAGCACTTGGGGTGTTCTCCAGGAGGATGCAAGTGGACATGTGCATGCCCTGCTCCTATATGGGCCTGGATGAGTGAGTGTCTGTGTGTGCGTGTGTGTGCCAGGCATGTGGGCGATTTTCCACTAGAGTGCTTGTGGGCATGTGGGGTGTTCTGCTCTCAGATGCACCTAAAGGGAGAAAGGGTCTGTGTGTATCCTTCTGTGAATGTTTTTTGTGGGTTTCTCCCTCGTGTGGTTATTTTGTGTGTGCTTCTGTGGGTCTGTGCCTTGGTGGGTCCTTCCCAGCTTAGGTATTCCACGATGTTGCCGGAAGTGCATAGGATGGTCGTGATCAGCCACTGTACCCACAACTTCTAAAGAAATGATTCTCACAGCTAATAGAGAAATTTATCCCTCACCCCTGGATTAGGCAGCCAGAATGCTCTTACTTGGGGACCTGGGGGTGCAGCCCTGGGACCACAGCAGAGGGAGGGGAGCCCGAGGCTCTCTGAAGGGGCTGAGGGGCTGTGAGGCGGTCTTGACTCCCCTAGGAAGGGGACAGAAACTGTCTTGCTTGGACTTCAGAGAGCAGAGGGGCTCCCTGATATCAGGGTGAGGGTTGGTGCAGGCTGCCCTGGGGACAGAGGACTGAAGGACTCAGAGTGCCACCATCAGCTCCTGTCTTCCAGCAGATCCCTCCCAGGTCCCCTTATCATCTTGTCTCCCTCAGTCTAGAGACCGGAAGATGGTGGGCGATGTGACCGGGGCCCAGAGCTACGCCTCCACCGCCAAGTGCCTGAACATCTGTGCGCTGGTCTTCAGCTTCCTCGGGGTCGTAATTGTAATTGCTGTTTGGTACTGTGTAAGCATCTAAGTACTTTCACAGATGTTAGAGAAACTTAGGGGCTACTGATCGCTGCCTGTTTTCACTATCCAAACACTTTCGCCCTCCACCGCTGGCTCTGCATCCTGCCTATTGACCCCCTCACCCATGTATATTTGTCTATAAAAGAATTCAGTGAAGTGTCTGTGTGTAACTGTGCTGTGACGTTCCCCGGGGAGGCAGTCCTGCTCTGAGTTTCCATCCTGGTCCTGAGACTGATCCAAGAGGTCACCCCCCGTCTTGTCCCCCTGCCAGGCTGGGATGAGAGAGCAGGGCATACCCTCAGGCCTGGCAGGTTCTGGATTCAGGTGGAACTACAGCTGGCCTGAGGTCCTGGGTGAGGGTCTCTGACGCTGAGGTCTGAGCCCTGATGCAGAGTGATCTTGTTTGGGTGGTGGCACTGGGTGCAGAACACCCTTGATCCCAAGGTCACCCCCTCAGCCTCACACAGGGTGCGGAGGACTCAGAGCTTGACTCAGGCACTCCGTGGGATGTCTGGGTTAAGGGTCCGCCCTCTGGGGCACAGCTGGATACTAGCTGCTCTGACATGACCATGGATGGGGTGGGCTGTCAGCGATCAGGTGTCCTGTAGAGCAGAGAGGAGGGAGAGCATGGAGCATTTGCTTCTGCAGGCTCTCTGGCCACCACCAGGGACAGAGGGGAAAGTGGGTGGCCCTGGCTGGCTGTACTTCCTGCTATGATGCTGGGAGAAGGCTGCAGTTCCTCCTACCTCAGCTGGTAGGGCTGTAGAGTTGGGTAGGGGTCCAAGTCCTGGGTCCTGCCTCAGCTGGTAGGGCTGCAGAGAGTTGGGTATCCAAGTCCTGGAACCATAGGTGGATAATCTCTCCTGGGAGGGTCTTCAACACATAGAGAACACAGGTACTGGGCCTGGGTTTCTGCTGGGGTGAGGGCTGCACAGTGGGGAGGTGGGGCTGACTTCTCCCAGTTCCAGGGAAAGAACTTGCCTGGGGTAGATCTGGAGCAGGATGGGGAGCAGGCCTGCTGGCTTGGACAGAAGCAAGTGGTCAGGGCCATAGCCCCACCTTCCATGCCTTGCAGGGTTGGAAGAGCAGGCTCCCCGGGGGGTGGTGAGATGTCTGGGAGCAGGCCTGCAGGATGGTCACCGGATGAGTCCTTCTCACACAGATGCACTGCCTTTAGGGACCTGGGCTCATCTTGAGTGCCAGCAGAAGGAATGATGGCTGGTCCTGTCTGCTGAAGCTCATGGCTTGTCCCCGTGTTTCCCCTGGTATTCTTGATTCATCTTGGACCCACCTTGCCTCAATCTTTCATCCTCACCCTGCTCTCTGCCTAACTCTTCTTCGTCCTAATTCAAAGGCTTCACCAGCAGGTAGGTACTCAGCTGTGGTGGAGGAGCAGCCACAATGCCACCTGTTCCCCCTGGTGCCCTACAATGTAAGCACAAGAAAGGAGGCCTGACCAGGATGGGAATGTGGGGCAGTGAGGAGGGGGTGCACTGGCCTTGCCGGTGGGGGCACAGAAAATGTGCTCTAAGGAGGAAGGGGCACAGTGGCATCCCCTACCAGTGGCTGGCACAGCCTCCAGGTCTGCGGGACCAGGTGCCCCTGGATCTGGGAGACCAGCTGCCCCACAACTAGACAAGGGCAGGGTGGTTGGTCCAATGGGCAGAGTTTAGGATGTGCCGGGATATTCAGGTTTGAGCCAGAAGCCCACCTGAGCTGTGCTAACTTGAGAGGCTCAGAGGGCTCAGCTTCCTCTGAGGTCCACCTCCCTCTGGGAGCTGGGCCCTCCTGTGCCATAGAATGTGGCATCTTGTAAGTGAACAGTGAGGTCCACTGGTTAGGTAGCAGGTTGGGGATCAGGGAGAGGCGAATTGGGGAGATCCCTAGTCCTAGTCTGGTATAATGTCCCCAGGGTCCCCCCAAGCCCTAAATGAGGGCGTGGGTTCAGGTGAACAACTCCCCCCCCCCCCCCCC